AGCTTCTCCTCAACTGTCTTAATTTTTACCTGTTTTCCTCACTCCAGCGACCTGAGTAGCAAAAATTGTTGGAAGAAATCACTGTGAAGGGCTTCTTTCTCATGCTATATGGCAGCCAAGGTCTTTTCCTCCCTTCACTCTCTCATACAGTATTCAGAATGCATTTCTTGATTCCTTTCTTTTTGTTGTTACTGATGAATTCAGCATCTGTCATTTTCCAAGCACCACACAATTGCTTAGAATTAAAAGCTAGTTGGACCTATTTCTTGATATGGAGAAAATAAATGACTTTAGCAGACAAATATATATGTGTGTGTGTGTGTGTGTGTGTGTGTATATATATTCATTCACACACAAATATATATATGTGTGTGTGTGTATATATATATATACATTGTCCTGGTTCTCTTCCTAATTCTCTGAAGAATATGTACATTTCTTCTTAAGTGACTCCCTTTCATTCTCCTTTTCCTAAAATGTAATATGTTTCAACATTTGGCTTCCAGTACTATTGTCTTGACTATCTTAATCGCTTCTGGTGGTCTTATTCAGGCTGAAGACATTGACTATCATCTTCATTCTTTTATTATTATATTTACTATGGGGAGTCCCATGAAGAGAAAAAAATCACCATGAAGGGCTTCTTTCTCATTCTATTTGTTAGCCATATAGATTGGAAAACTCTTTAGCATGTGACTCCCCACAGTAAATATAATAATAATGAATAATAAGGAATGAAATATTATATTTTCATTATCTGGACTCCCCACAGTGAATATAATAATAACAAACTATTATATAACATCTTATTAGGTATCAAACTCTTTCATGAACATCGCCATATTTAATCTTTATAGCAATTCTGTAAGATTAATATCTCAGTTAATAAAAACATGTAGTGGGTACTTACTATAAACCAAGCACAATTACAAGAACATTCCATATATTCTAGAAACACAATTGTAGTGTGGATGTCAAAATACAGATTTGTGAAACACAAATGAGGGTTATAGGTTAAGGAGACTATTCAGTGGTGTGGCAAGAACTTTCACATTTTGCCCCATTGTCCTGCCTTAATTATTAATCACACTCCCTTTTGCTCTTAAAGTGTCCTAGTTGGAATGGTAATTTTTAGCTGCCTAGTTAAGGTTCAGGATACTGGTGCAAGGCATACTTTCTGCTTCTGTAAAGATGGGAACCTGAGGTTCAGAGAAAATAAAATACTGGCCCATAGTCACACCACCAAATAGCAGAGCTTGAACTTGAACTTGAATCTTTAAATCTCTGATTTAAGTTCTTTTTAATATTCTATGATGTCTCTTTTTCTAGACAAATGTTTGGATTTGAATAGAATCTTCTAGGAAAGCTGTATCTATTTCTATTATGCTTGCAACCCTAAATTACTATTTAAATTATCATTCTCAGATCCTCATGTCTTTAATGCCTGTGAACCTGACTGATTGTGGGTTTAGAAATGATGAAGAACTTAAATATTTCAGATTTTTAAAAAATAATATTTGAAGTTATAAGGACAGAATTTTTTTAAGTCATGGTTAATAAAATCTCAAACTGAAATGGTATTGTTTTCATGAGCTATTTCTCATAGATCTCTTTTTCTTTGAATTTTTATCTTACAGAAAATCATGTTTATATTGTACCGATTTTGAGCCAATAGCTGAATAACACACATTTCACTTTGCCTATCACTGATACCATGTATTAGCATAATTCTTTTTTGAACGATTTGGAGGGGTTCTTGCTTGTGGGTTGTGGAGGATGCAGGAGGCACTTAAGCCAAAGTTTCCAATCTCCTCTATCATGTATATTAATTTTTTACCTCAACATAATTCAGAGGAGACCTCCCTTGGTGCTCAGGGTATTTTCTAAACACTTCCCCAAACTGTGAATTATTTAGCATTAGCTGCACTCATGCTGATATTAAGGCAGTACATTACAAGAGCATTTTTGCCCTTGTCAGAGTAAAGGACTAAGTAAAAGTTGCTGGGCATCTGAAATATATCAGACACCCTATTAGATGCCTTATTCTGCATTATCCCATTCAGTCTACCAAACAACCCTTAGAATGTAATACTATCCTTATTTTAGAGATAAGCAAATTGAAGAGATAGCAGAATCACAGAATTAGTAAGCAAGAGTCTAGATATAAAACAAAATCTGCCTGGCTTAAAATCTTGCCCTTCCTTATCATCATTGCCTTATTGGCATCTCTCGTCCAGGCAGAGAACAATAAAATTCTCTATCTTTATCAAGGTTACATCAGGAATATCATCATATTTAATCTTTACACAATTCTGTGAGTTATTATCTCAGTTAATCAAAAACAAACATTAGTGGATCCTCACTATATACCACCAACTATAAGAACATCTCACATGTTAGCAATATTTTCCCATTCGCTTGATCTTGATTTCTAATATCTAACTACTTTTTCTATTTATCTCATACATTTTCTTAGTTTAAAAGTCACATATTACACTCCACTTTTCTTTACTGAAGTGTCAAACGTCTTTTTCTAGGAATGTGTTAAAATACCTACATCGCGGTTACTCTATTTGCCCTCTGTTCATTGAGCTTAACTGAAATTATTCAGAAACCTCCCAGGATATCTACGTGAAGAGATGACTATTCCAGATCACAGAGGTCACCCAGTGGTCATGCACTTGTTCTTCAACAACCAAGGCACACAGACAAACTGATTTCAGGTCCAGGTGATCCCCCAGAGGAAGCAGACAAAAGGATACTGGGGGTGGGAGGTGGTGTAGTCGGGGGGGAATGAAGAATACTAGCTTTCACCCAACAAGAAACCCAAAACACCCAAGAATACAAAGAACCCAATACAATAAACGTAATCGCTATAGACTTGACGCCTTAAGACAATAATAGAGTACATCAATTTCATTAATATGTTGTAATAACACTTTTCTAGATTTGATTATCACATGACCTAAGACATATGATCTAAATCTGGTACCAAAGGCTGTGTGAATAATTTTGTCCTATTTATTTTCTACAATAATTCCTTTTCACATTATTTTATTGTTGCTGTTAAAGAACTAATTTTGTTCTTTTCCTTCTCTTCAGAAAGTTCCATTTGCCTTCCTTAACTCTCATCCAGCAAGAGGTAATTATAAGTTACAGCAATTTTGAAGATATTCAAGGCTCAACCTATCTCCCCTTGCTCAGCAATTAGATACTCTACATTTCAGTGAATACCTAAATTCCTTTTATTAGGCATAGTATCTGAAGCCAAAAGTAGGCTGACTACAACCATTGTTTTTTGGAGTTAAGAAAAAAGACTTAAAGTAGTCTAAAGACCAAAGGAATAATTCTAGAGCGTTCAAAAATTTGATTGAAATAAACACACTTGTTAGGTGCTGCTATTCCTTAAATCCTAATAATACAATGATGAACAAGAATAAACACAGTCTCTTCATAGAACTTACAGTCAGATAATATCCATAAATTAATTTCCAACTTTTCATTCACTCATTTCTCTAACAAATATTTAAATGCCATCTACTCGGAAGCACGGTGATATGTGTTGCAAATTCAATGACAAATTATAGCCACTGCTCTCAGGAATCTTGCAGTCTAACAGAATCTGAACTCAATTCCTTCAGGACTTCCTGTGTCTATATGGATTGTATTCATCTGTCTTACCACTTCCATTTTTTCAGAGGCTAAAATTATCAATCAGTAACTATTACTTATAAAGAAGATCAGATGCATTGACCAGGAATTGTAAGTAGAGTTAAAGGCAATTATTAGTTTTCGTATTTGGGATATCAAAAAATATATATATCTAAAAAGTAAAAACTGAAGGCGAAAATATCTCTTCTTAGATGATTCACAAGAGCCTTTATATTCAAGCACTATCATACCCCAGTGGCAGTTACCTGTTCTTAGCATATACAGTTACCTGACTCTTTCCCTTCAAATAAAACAGTCAAATTCATAGACGCAGTGAGCAAAATGATGGTTGTTACCCCGAGGGTGGTCAGGGAAGACAGGGAAATGGGGAGTTACTAATCAATGGCTCTAAAGTTTTAGTAATGCCAGATGAGTCTAGAGATCTGCTATACAATATTGTCCTCATATTGTTAATAATAATATTGTATTCTACGCTGAAAATCTGGTAGGAGAGTACTTCTTATGTTAAGTGCTCTTATACAACAAAATAATAACCAACATTTAAAAAAAGATAAAAACACACAAAAAGTTTCAGAATTGGAACATTTTAGTTTCATTATTCTAAGGATTCAAAAACTCCAATTGTTAGAAAAGATTATATATTTCATATCTGCATCTTTATATATGATATGACATCACTAAAACCTAAAACTAGGACATAATAATACATCTCAGCTGCTTATCTCTAAGCAATTTAAAACCCCAGAGTAATAACCAGATTAGTCACTGTTAGTTTCTTTTCAGACGAATGAATATTTCCAAATAAGAACATGCTAAAACTCAAAAGTTTATATAATTAGAATATTAACACAACCCAAATCTTAATGCTCATTATGTTGTATCTCAATCCATCATTCTTATTAGATATATCGATGACCAAATTCACTTTTGGTGACCAATTAGGGCATCTGATCACATCTTCCAGTCACTGTAGAAATGTTCTGAAAAGGAATCAGGAGGATCCAACTTGCAAGTTGGTCTTTTTAGGGCATTCATTATTGTACAGTTGGTTGTGGACCTTAATTATGTTCTGTGCTCTCTTAGTCCATTCAACATTTCACCATATTAATGTTTCTTTTTGTTTTGTGTCTATATTAATGAAGGGAAGGCATATGTATGCTGTACTAATCCCTAAATGTCTTTGGAAGAATTCCTGATTCTTAATTTCAACAAAAACTTAATGTTTAAACAAAAATTGGTGCCAGTGAAGGTATTGGTATTGTGTCTATCCCAATCAGCCTCCACATTCATATTTTCACATATTTTGTGAAAACTCAGACTGCCCTTCCATGAACATAAGGAATCACACATTGCTGAATGAGTTCATTCTACGGGGAATACCTCAGACAGAGGGACTGGAGGCTGTGCTCTGTGCTATCTTCTCTTTTATCTACTTCTTCACCCTACTTGGGAATTTACTCATCCTTATAGCAATTGTTTCTTCCTCTACCCTTCACACCCCTATGTATTTCTTCTTGGGACTCCTGTCTATTTTTGACATATTGTTCCCATCTGTAACATGTCCCAAGATGCTATTGTATCTCTCTGGCCAGAGCCAAGTCATTTCTTATAAGGGATGTGCTTCACAGCTCTTCTTCTATCACTTTCTGGGTTCTGCTGAGGGCTGCCTCTATTCTGTGATGTCTTATGATCGCTTTGTTGCCATCTGTCACCCACTGAGGTATATGCTCATCATGAAGCCTGGAGTCTGTGTCGGCTTGGCCATGGTAGCCGGGTTGGTGGGTTGTCTTCAGGCCACCATTCTGACCTCTTTTACCTTTCAGTTGTCCTACTGTGGCCCCAATCAGGTAGACTACTTTTTCTGTGACATTCCTGCTGTTTTACCCCTGGCTTGTACTGACAGTGCCCTGGCCCAGAGGGTGGGTTCCATAAATGTTGGATTTCTAGCTTTAACACTTTTGTTCAGTGTCTGTGTCTGCTACACTCGCATTGGGATTGCCATCCTGAGAATCCGTTCAGCAGAGGGCAGGCAGAAAGCCTTCTCCACCTGTAGTGCTCACCTGATTGCAATCCTTTGTGCCTATGGACCTGTAATCATCATCTATCTGGAGTCCACACCCAACCCCTTGCTTGGCGCCATGGTACAAATATTAAATAATGTTGTATCACCCATGCTGAATTCGTTAATCTATTCCTTAAGGAACAAGGAAGTGAAAAGATCCCTGAAAAGAGTATTCCAAAATATTTTACTTACTGTTTGTGAATAAATTATGAGTTATTATTGAGAATAAATGTTAAAATTAACATTATTCTTTGTCTCTTAATTCTGGATAAGGAATCCCAAGGGCATGGCAAACATTGGGAGACAGATTCCTTGTCCCTGTAATAGGTAGCCAGTAGTTCCTCTCTGTCCACATCAACATTCAATTTTATTTTATTTTTTTGCTCCAATTAAAATGTAATTGTTCCTGCTTTCTGCCTATAAGCATTTCAGTTCTTCCATCTTGTGAAGAAGAATATTAACTAACATTCATAGAGCATGATCTGTCTTCTGGGCATTGGGATGAATATATCACATCCATCATCTTACTTCATCTTCACCTCACCCCTATAAAGTAGATTTCATATAATTAGAAAATAGTTTTGAGGATTAAAACCTTCAAATAATGAACCCAAGATTACACATTAAGTAGCAAATCAGATCTCAAACTCAGTTGCAGTTAACTGCAAATCCCCTTGCTGCTGCAGATTCCTGTACCCCGTAGCTACCCTAAGTGACCTGCTTGGCAATTTACTCATCCTAATTTCCTCTCTCCAGAGCTCATGATACAAAGAAGTTGTTTGATAAATAATTGGTAAAATAAGTACTGACATAGGTTATGTCTATATACAGTCATCCCTCAATATTCATGGGTTCTGCTTTTGTGAATTCAACCACTGTGGATCAAAAATATTCAGAAAATAAATTTTACAAAGCTCCAAAAAGCAAAACTTGAATCTGCCTAATGTGAGTACTACTTTGAATTAATGTGAATGAAGTGGTAGTAGACATTGTATTAAGTATTATAAGTAACCTAGAGATGATTTAAAGTATATAGGAGCATGTGCATAGGTTATATGCAAATATTACACCATTTTAAATAAGGGACATGAGCATGCTTGGATTGTGGTATTTATGGGGGTTCTAAAACCAATCCCCTGAGGATACTGAAAGATAACTGTATTGACTTTATCATTATCTCCACTTACTCTATTCTACTACCCATTTTTCCCACCTGTAGATGGTGGCACTGAGATACAGCAATTAGTGTCTTCACTGTATACTACTTCTAGTGATGCTAAAGTCAGCCCTAGACCCAAACCCTCTTAAGTCTTGCTGTGTCATAGTTTTCCTACTGCACCATGCTGCCAATATGCCAAAATACTCTTTAATATAAACTCAGGGGGAAAGTATTTCTATCCAGTGTTGTTGAAGAGAAGATGGTCTAATTATGGGGCTTAATTAGCATGCTCATTTGATTTTCCCAGCAAGTTACATTTTGTAACCTAACTTCCAACAAGACTGGAGTTGATAACTACTTCTCAATTTTCTCAGAATCTAAAGTGAAACAAAGGGCACTATTAATTGGAGATCCCACAGACATACCAGCTCTTAGTTTCTGTGACATTTTAGTTATTCGTAGTTTTTCTATTCCATTTGTAATCCCCAAAGTTCTCTTTCTATTTGAAACCAGTAAACAAAAGCAAGTGAAAATTCCTAATAAAAATGCTTACTTTATAAATAGCATGAAGCAAAAATGATAAAATGAAGCTCCTTCAAGCATAGTTAAATGGTTTTAGCGCATGGCTCCTCCTAACTTGATTGTCAAAAATCCAAGATGTCACAGCATCTTATTCCCACTTTAGGGATGCCTATCAGAGATGATAGGCTGGACCCAAAAAACCCTAGTGTGAGTTTGCTGTTCTACTAATGTAGGCTATTTTGCAGAAGAATCTGCATGCCATGATTTCTAGTAAAGGCTGAATAGTGTTTAGGGACAGATATTCAACACACTGATACTTCTATAATAGATATAATTTCTAGACAATGGAAAGCTTTATAAAAATAGGGATTGTGTGTGTCTTACTCACCATTGTATCCATAGAACATAGCCCAGCGACATAGTAAGCTTCCAGTAGGCTTGTTGAGTGAATGAATGAAAACCACTTACCCATTCAAATTATGATGCAATTGTATGTTTATTGATACAGAGGAACATGTGTGAAACAATTAAGATACAGAACAATATTATGTCTGAATTTAAATATATATCCATGTTTAGGTAAAACTGATGATACGCAAAAAACAAAATCGGAATGACCAACTTTTTGGCTCTTTCTAAATTAGTGCTGCAATGGTTGTCACTGAAAACAAAAATAACAGTCTAAATCTTTCCTATATCTGAGTATACAACATAAGATTTTATTTAAAACACATATGCACACATACAAAAAACACACATAGACACACACAACAACTTTTTAAAATCTTACCTCATTAACAACAATAGCAACAAAACCAAATAACCTGATTGAAAAATGAGTAAAGGGCTTAAATAGACATTTCTCCAAAGAAGATACACAAATGGCAAGTAAGCATATGAAAAGATGTTCAATACCATTAATCATTAAAGAAATGCAAATGAAAACCACAACAACATATCACTTCAATAAGGATGGCTACTATTTTTAAAATTACAATAAGAATAAACATTGGCTATTATGTGAGAAATTGGGACCCTTGTATACTGTGGATGAGAATGTAAAATGGCTCATCTGGTATGGAAAACAGATTTGTATTTTCTTTAAAAAGTAAAAGTAGAATTACCATACCATCCAGCAATTCCAGTTCTTGGTATACACAGAAAAGAAATGAAAGTAGGGTCTCGAAGACATTTTTGTACACCCATGTTCCCAGCAGCGTTAACCAAAATAGCCAAGGGTTGAAAGCAACCCAGTATTCGTTATATGAATGGATACACTAAATGTGGTATATGTACACAACAAAACATTATTCAGACTTAAAAAGGAAGGAAGTTCTGACACATGCCACAGGGATGAGCCTCAATGACATTATGCTAAGTGAAATAAGCCAGCCACAAAAAGACGGTATAAATACAGTTATATTAGGTATCTAGAGTAGTCACATTCATAGAAAAAGAAATGAGAATGTTGGTTCCTAGGGGCCACAGAGGATGAAAGGGATGGAGAAGTTATTTAATGATTATAGAGTTTTAGTTCCGCAAGAACTGAGCAAGTCCCAGAGCTTAGTTGAGCCGCAATGTAACTATATTTTACACTACTGTACTGTCTATTTCAAAATGGTTAAGATGTTAAATTTTTATGCTTTGTGTATTTTACCAGAATTTCTTTTTGAGACAGAATCTTGGTCTGTTACCCAGGCTGGAGTGCAGTGGTGCAATCATGGTTCACTATAGCCTGGACTTCCCCGCTCAAGAGATTCTCCCACCTCAACCTCCAGAGTAGCTGAGGCTACAGGAGTGCACCCCACGCCCAGCTAATTTTTGAAATTTCTTATAGAGATAAGATCTCACTATCCTCCCATATTGGCCTTTTGAAGTGCTGGGATTACAGGCATGAGCCACCACGCCTGGCCTACCTTGTTTTTGTCGTTGTTGTTGAAGGTTGCTTATGCAGTTTTCACACATTCTGTGGCTTATTAATTCTCTCCTTTTTCCTATAACTACATCGACTGTGGCTGAGCCCTCTCACATCACTGTTTCTTTATTTTTTTATACCTCCATTTGGTGTGGGCAGAGAAAAAGTTTGAGAAATGTAGTCTAAGGTAGCTTTTCAGAAGCTCCTCCTGGAGTAATAATGATGTTAACATTCATTGAGTCCTTACTCCTTACCAGGGCACGGTGTAATTGCTTTTTATACATTATCTAATGTAATCTACATTAGAGTCCTGGGAGATCATTTTACAGAAGATGAAATGAGGTTTAGGGATGTTAGGTAATTTTCTTTAAGTCACACAATTACCCTGTGGATGTAAATAGACTCTGTCTCAGATCTTCATGTGGCTATGCACAATACAGCAAGTCTGTTGCAATTTTAGAAATAAATATTTGGCCTTCCACGCCCCCCCAAAAAATCTTACCCCGTCTTATTTTTCCTTTCAATCTCTCAGATGTGTGAAAGCTTATCTGAGAGAAAACTCATTTGTAATAAAATACTCTAATCCCACAGAATGGGGTGCTTTTATTCTCATTTTTACCTTGTTACTATCCTCTGTTGGTTCGAATCCTCTGGGTGTTCCCAGAAGACACCTGTGTGGGGCTTTACCTGATAATTAGAGTTAAAGTATGGTTCTTAGTGCACATTCAGGTATAGAAATGTAAGCAGAAAATGAAGCTTTGTTTTGACATCATCACACGAGGCTAAAGCAGGGCCTTAATCCTTTCACATTCCTTGTAGCATGTCTTCGCCCTGGTAACTATCTCTTCTCTTTTTTTTCCTGACAAAATATCTCGAAATTCTATAGCCCAGTGATCTTCCTTATTTGTCTCCCTGAATGTGCTCTTGCTCCCCACAGCTGCTCTCCTGACTGTAGCTAGAATTATTTTTCACATTCTCTCTCCCACGATGTTCTGAAACAATGCTGCTTAAAGCTGTCTTACATTTTCTTTCTTTCTTTTTTTTTTTTTTAAGCCTCCTAATGTAGAGACTGCAGTCTTCAAAGAGCAGGGCCTTGAGTCATCATTTGCTTCTCTGCCTTTCAAGATTTACCTCAATTTTTTTTCCTCTCTTTCCTCGAGTTCTTCAAACATACTGTACATCTTTCCAATGAAGTCTTGGCACCTAGAAAGGTTTCACCTTCAGATCTGAACTGGGATAACATTTTCTCAGGGAAGTCCTCTTCTACCTTCAAGGAGCACCAGCTAGTCATGCAAATCATGACATGAATACATATTTAATTTACTGATATGAAAGAGGAAAATGAGTAGGATACAAATACTCTGTCCCAGTAACTTTTCAATCCACAGCACTTCTTCCTAGCCCTTACCACCTTAAGTAATTATCATTTATATGTGTAGGATTATTTGATGAATGCCTCTCTTCTTCTACTAGACTTAAGCTCATTGAGGACAGAGACCTTGGCTAGTTCCTGTTCACGAGAACATGGCTGTTTTGGTGCATCATGATAGCTCTAATAAATTTTTGACCTAATCAAGGTCAAAATGATCTCAATAAAACGTCTAACTTA